GGAGAGTTGGTGGCGACCGAGCCAAACCAGGATGGAAACAAAAGTGTAAGATTTTACATTTAACCCTCCTCTTGTCTTCGGGTCATTTTGACCCGAAGACAAGAGGAGGTTGTTCTTATTTTTTTCGTCAAGTTCACATTTGAATTGCTGCAGCAGAAAATTCCATCTGAGTTGTGAACACTGTAGGTCTGATTCAGGACTGTTAGATTTCAAGTTTCTGTATGCAGTTGCAATTAAAAAAATGTTTTATAAGGGCTTGTCCTCGGGTCATGTCAACCCGAGGGCAACAGGAGGGGGGAAATTTGAAAAGATATCAGTTTTACGGAGATCAATGATGCCATTCCATACTGTTTGCCTGTCCAGCTGTGATTTCCTTAGTCTTCCGGTCAGTCTGACCTGAGGCCTGGGTTTGGTTATTTTTATTTCTTTTGTAAAGTTCACATTTGGATTGCTTGAGCCTAAACTTCCCCCTGAGTTGTGCACACCATAGTTCTGATGCAGGACTGTTAGATTAAAGTTTCTGTATGCAGCTGCAATTGAAAAACATATTTTTTAAGGGCTTGTCCTCGGTCGACATAAGCCGAGGACAACAGGAGGGTTAACGGTGGTGGGGGATCCCTGCTGGCTGTGCAGTGTTTTCCACAACAAATTTTAATATCCTTGCATACAGCACCCCATGAACACCCAATGTCTGTGGCAAATACATTTTGTAACACACCCTCCTCGTGGAGGTTGTTAATAACAACCCACTGGACTTCAGTCACTCTTTTTATTGCTGCTATATACTTTTAAGTTTTTCTAAGAAACTGAATCTTAGATTTTCATTAACTAAAAGCTACTGTTATCAAGATTTCCAAAAAAACGAGACTTTGAAAAATATCCCCTTCTGTGTAATGGATCGTTAGTTTCGCTTTTGGAATTGAATTTTTTTGGAATAATTTCACATTTGAATTAAACCACTGTGATGCTCAACTCAAGTTCTAAAGAATGCATGCATATTTTAGATGTTTCCTGAGTCAATCTATCTGAATCACATAAATGGTCCATTAAGAGGCCTGTGAATAACTTTATGATGTACTAAGGAAGTAATTAAGCCCTTAATTCTGGAAAATCTAAAACATATAGGGCAACAGCTCTCGAGGGCAGTGTTTGGCTACCCCAGGTCTTTATACCTCCATTCAGGTTTCACTGAGATTTATAATATTAAGGATTGCACAAATGTCAGATTAAATTTTATAGTAAAAGTAACTTTAAGTGTTTTACTTCTCTGCTTGCAGGCAGAACTCATTGAGGAATTTGATCGTTTACGAGAACAGGCAGAAAAAAGAGGCCTTTTTCAAGCGCGGCCTTTATTCTTCTGCCTCCATCTGGGTCACATCGTGCTGCTGGAGGCCCTGGCCTTTCTGCTGCTCTCGCACTGGGGCACAAGCTGGACGATGACGCTGCTCTGTTCAGTACTGCTCGCAACCGCTCAAGTAATTTCAGCAGCACTAAACTGTCCTTATTGTTGTTGAGTAACTTTAAATGGATGAAACAGCTACCTATCCTCTCCATTAGTCGCAGGCTGGATGGCTGCAGCATGACTTTGGTCACCTCTCTGTCTTCAAGAAATCCAAATGGAATCACTTGGTCCACAAGTTTGTAATTGGACACTTGAAGGTAACTCAGAATTTATTCTGTTAACTGTCTGGACTTTTCTAAGATGATTGTTTTTAGGGAGCTTCAGCCAACTGGTGGAACCACCGACATTTCCAGCATCACGCTAAACCGAACGTTTTCAAGAAGGATCCCGACATCAACATGATGGATATCTTTGTACTTGGGAACACCCAGCCAGTGGAGGCAAGTACCTCAATAAAGGAATGCATTTCTAATTCGTTCTGAGCTCTAATGCAGCTTAATAGCTCACTGAACTCTGTGCCTCTCACTGTTGCAGTACGGCATTAAAAAGATCAAACACTACCCCTATAACTACCAACACCACTACTTCTTCCTTGGTATGCTTGCTTTAAGACATTTGGAAAGAATCAAAGAAATCTAAAATTGTTCCAGAACTAACTAGTTTATCTCTTTCAGTGGCACCACCGCTGCTTATTCCAGTTTTCTACAACTACAATATAATGAAGACCATGTTTACTCGACGTGACTGGGTGGTAAGTTAGTTTAGAATAAATATATTTTACATAAAAGGAAGTTGTAACTGATTTTCTTTGTAAAGAAACATAAATAATATATATATATTTTTTCTTTTTGTTTGAAGGATCTGGCCTGGGCTTCCACCTACTACATTCGTTACTTCTACTGCTTTGTTCCACTGTATGGTGTGTTTGGCTCTCTGGCACTCATGATGTTCGTCAGGTGAGCTCATTGGGAAGGATTTAAAATGGTTCACACTCTGACAGCTTCTTTTAAAAATGCATGCGTCTAATTTAGGTTGCAAACATGTTCGGGTTTGTTTTAGTTCTGAAATAAAGAGGAAAAAAGAACAATCATAGCTTGATTATGCATTTGCATTAACTTTTTTTATAAGATTGCCTGCATTCTTTGCCATATGCTTTTTTTACTCTGCTTTCAAACAGAATACAATGCATCGAAATGTGTTGATGTTAAAATCTGCAGGTTTTTAGAAAGTCACTGGTTTGTGTGGGTGACTCAGATGAGCCACTTGCCAAAGGAGATCGATCACGAGAGGCGCCAAGACTGGCTGACCATGCAGGTACCTGCTTTATGATCAACTAATATTAGAGTCTCGTTGTATGTACTGCTTATCAGAGGTGGAAATTAGAGCCAGTGGCTTATCTTAATTGAAAATGAAATTGGATAAAAACCAGATCAACATGTTTCAACACTCCAGATAATTTGATTATTTCATCATAAATTTTATGACATCTTATTCCTGTAAGGTCACACAAATTTGCTACAGATTTTTGTACTTACTGTATTTTGTTTCATAAATACTTTACAGAACAGGATCTTTGTGGTATTTCAAACTTCTTTGTATTACATTGGGACTGGCCAACAGAAAAAAGTGCATAATTACATTTTTTGTCACAATGAGAAATCTGAAAAGTGTGTCATTCTTTTAGAGTCTATCTGTACAAAATGTAATCTCTGTATATTCTGTGAAGGTACTTGAGGTTTGGTAAAGAAAACAATGGTGAACAAGCAGCATTATGAAAACCAAGGTTTATGACACAAATAAAGCTGTGGAGAAGTTTAAAGTAGGGTGAGACTTGGGGAAAAAAAAAAACAAAAACAAGACCGGAGTATTGTCTCACCTTTCCAAATTTTGTGGGGGGAAAAATTGTTTTTAAAAATGTGCCTATCATTTCACATTTCATTTAAAAATGGTGCACTATTTTACATTTGTTTACTACATAAAATAACATACTTTAAGGTTTGTGGTTGTAACTTGACAAAATGTAAAACAGTTCCATGTTGATTCTTGATTCTGTTTCAGTTACAAGCCACGTGTAATATTGAGCAGTCCTTCTTCAATGACTGGTTCAGTGGACATCTCAACTTCCAAATCGAGCATCAGTAAGTCAAAGGATTTAAACTTGGACTTTTAACTTTTTGCAACGCACTGCAATTTGGACAAAGCCAAAGACTGATGAAGAAATAAAACCAAGTCAGTAAAAACATTTATACAATCACAGTACTTGTTTGCTAGGTATTTACTCTGAATCTGCAGTGGATTTGATACTTACAAAGAGAATATATTGTATTCAGAAAAGCTTGTCCTATTCAGCACTTTGTTAAAAATAAGTATTTTAAATTATATTTGCTCGATGTTTTCTGAATGTAATTTTTATTTTTCCTATTTTTAAATTTTTAGTTTACCTCTAAAACTAATGCCTGTTCATTTTTGAGTCCATTATTCTGCCTCTCTTTCAAGTCTGTTTCCCAGGATGCCGCGCCACAACTACCAGCTGGTGGCGCCGCAGGTCCGCGAGCTGTGTGAAAAACACGGGATTCCTTATGAGACGAAAACTTTGTGGCAAGGAATGGTTGATGTGGTCAGGTAATAACATAGAGCCACTGTAATAAAATAAACAACATATTTAGAAGGTAACAAGAGACTCTGGGACATTATATTTCATTAGTTTGAAAGTTGTATTCATTCACTATCCTGAGTTGCTCTACTTTATTTCTCCTAGTCCTCCTTCCAACCCTGATTCTAACCCTCCTTTCAACCCTTCCAACTTAATTCCAGCTTTAATTGGATGTTCCAATTACAGCAGTCACACTGCATTTTCACAGAAAATGCTAATTTTTTTAAAGCTATTAGTCTTTCTTTAAACAGTTATACAAAACAGACTCTTAACTGATGTTTTTCTGTTCTTTTTCAGGTCTCTGAAAACTTCAGGGGAACTGTGGCTTGATGCATATCTCCATAAATGATTATCTTGCTTTTTCACGTTTGTCATATAATATGAAAATCTAACAGACAAAACTGGAACGATCTGTGTTTTTCAGTGTTTAATGTAAAATACTGTTCTAATCTTTAGTGAACACTGGATTTTTGAGGACCAACCATAATTCAATGTTAAAGGTGAAAGTATAAAATGTGACTGACTCATTAAAGACTTTCAACAACAAATAGTGCATCTCTTTTAAACCATTTGAATAATACTCATGGTAACTTGAAACATAAGAAAAGGCCAAAAAATTATGATGAACACAATAAAACATGGACTGGAAACAGCACACAATAACTATAGAAACTGCTGCTGAAATAGTTATTATAGTTTGACATAAATATAAATATGGTAACTTATAAAACTTAGAATAAACCTTGAAACTCATAACTGGGCATTGCATATGTTTTACATTTTCCAGTGAAGCTGTTGGTTCATTAGAGTTATTAAATAGTATTATTAAAAAAGTGTTTGGGGGGGAGGACTACATAAAAATCTGTTGCAGAATATTAATGGTAAATTCTTTAATCATATTACGATACATATTTACACCGAGAACAATTTATATGAATCTTCATGTCATTTTTCATACCAGAGAACAAATTGAGTTTATTCTTCTTAACAGTTTGTGCAGTTTACATTGCAAACACCAGGTTACAACAGACACTAACATACACAAATAATAGAAAATGTGCAAAAGCCCTTAAAATTGATTAATATATTTTTGCTGCAGCATAATTCAACACTAATTAAAAACAAAAAAACTCAGTTGAAAAAAATTCCATCATAGCACTTAATAGCTTTTTAAAATGTCGCCTGTGTCAAATTTATAAGGCCCTAAAGGAGGAGTAATGGATGTTTTGATCACAAAGTTATCTTTCTTTTTTAAGTTGTTCAGTGTTGAGGTTGTTGATTTTGTCATTTAGTATTTTACTGCACTTGGTCATTACAATTTCACTGAGAAAACAAATGATTTAACGGTGCCGTAAAACAGAAAGTCAGATTGTAGAGTGAATGCTTTAGGGTTGATTATGTTAATCCAATAAGAACTGAAGTTCTTGACAATAACAAATTGTGCAGGGGCTGCCTTGGTCTATTTGATTTTGTTCTCTATTTTGCCCTTTTTACTTTTATGAGAAGTAAAGGAGCAACTGGTTCTGTCACAAGTAATCAAATTTAAAAAAATGAAAAGATTATGAAACACTATATGTACAACATAATACTAAGAACTAATGTCTGACTTTTCCATGGAATATGAAAAAGACTTCACTCTTAAAAAGCTCCAGAAAAAGTTTTCAATGTCAAAATATGCTTCAGCAATAAAAGATATGCCAATTAATTTTAGAGGGTGCCGTATAAAAGATCCCACAATTACTGAGAAAGGCATATTGTTTTATTAAGTTGCCAAAATGTCAGATAACATCAAGAAGAATAAGAACATTTATTTTAATACTTGTGAATGATTTATATTTACCAACCAGATACAAACTTCTGCCATACACAACAAAACATATGCGTGCTTTATTTTTTCTGTTAGCATTAACATGAAAATAACTGGCTATGCAATAGAAAATATGTCAAACATCCTGGCACTGATTTTAAAAAGCAACTGCAAAGATTTAAAATTTTTACAGACAAATTTTGTAAACAGTACAAAACAGTATTATTAAGAACATACACTAACCCTGCTCTCTCATGCACACGTATGTTGTATGCATGTCCTGCACATACACCAAACTGTACACGAGTTCCCCTTCTTAGCAGGTCATTTCTTCAATAATTTCATCAATTGAGAAAAATGGAACATAATTTGAAAACACTTGAATAACAAACATCTAACATTTTACAAAATAAATATGCAATTAAAAATAAGTGTATTTAATCTTGTTTGTTTCTTTTTTTATCTGAGGATCACAAGAAAATGTTCACTGATTTAGCGAGCTGCTGCACTTGGAAAGCAGTGAGGAGGGAAAACATCTGCTCCACGTGTTCAGTCGCAGCTGCTTGTGGAGTCGACCTTCTCTTTCCTCCGCATCATGATTTCCTTCAGCTCAGAAGGAGCCTTCTGGAGAGAAAACACATTTGATGCTTTATATCATTTTGTTCTCTGAGGCATTCACATAACACAGCAGCTACTTTGTCCATAAATCTGCAACAACATGTTGCAAAAGTTGAGCAGAGACTATAATATCTTGAGCAGTTCTAGATGTTTATGTTAATAAATACTTTTATAAAAAGGCAAACTTTACCAATCCAGCACTTATCTTTGCTTCGTCGAACATTTTAAAATTTGTATGTATTGTTTATTATATTGTTTATGTTACATCTGAGTGGTCTGAAGAGCGGTGTGATTGCAAGTTGTTTGCTGAACTATTGTTACAATAACTCTCCTGAAGGTGGCAGCAAAGAGAAACTTTAGGAATGACTGGGAACTAAGCAATGTCAGCACAAACTATTAAGCTGCAACATATTTGACCAGATTTCTGCTTCATCAAGATGTCTGCTGTTGAAGCTAACCTATTTTCAAAGTTTACTTTATGTCTATAATAAAACAGAAAATATTTTAAACCAGTTCAGGGTTCAACTTAAGAGTTGTAAAAAAATAAAAAAAACAAAGAACCATCTTGAGTGAGAGTTGAGAATACAATGGCACCAGTCTGTATCATGTGTTGTCAATTTCATTTTCAGTCTATTTGCTATAAAACTTGAGAGCAGAGGTGAATTTGAGTGTCGATGTTGGAAACTTTGATTTTACAAGTGCTGTCAGATAAGTGATTTTAATCACCTCTGAGTCAGTTTTTTTTACTAAACATGTATAAATTTGTTTTTTACTAAACATGTATTAATTTAAGACTATCTCCTGCACTCTGAAAGCTGTTGACAGCTCCTACATTTCTGAATGCACACTTTGTCCCAACTTGCCCAGGTATAGTATGAAGATTTCACACAACATCAATAAAAAGACTCCCAGAAAAACAGGTTTTTAAGCAGGTTGCATGCAGAGGATTGTGACCAACCTCTACTTGTCCTTTCTGCAGAGACACCTGATTGAAGACACGGCCCCCTTCGTCCCCACACACGGCCTTCAGCTCCTCTCTGTTCAGGGAAAACAGCTGCTCTCCTGTCAGGATTCCCAAACATTCAACCGTCCTGCAGAAAGGACAGTAAGACAGTTTAATGTAATAGCATTTGAGATACATCTGTTGCATTTATTAGTGTGATATTGCTCCTAACTGAGGGCACGTTGTTGCCGGTTGAACAGCGGAGAACCAGATACAGTCTTCTCAAGGCTTTGTGGCATGTTGCAGCAGGAAAAAACTTGGTGTCAAAGTGGCATAAGAAACAAGTGGATTCCTCTGAAGTGAGTTTGTTCTGTCCCCTGGGGGGATGCCTCTCGAATATTTCCACATTTAGAAAGGAATTACACCTTCAGCTATGCCTTCTGGTGCCTGATCTCTGAGTCATCTCTTCCTAGCAATATAGTCACATAAAAGCTACCTCTTCAATCTTCAATCAACGATTCTAAAAACTTGCGCAACAGTCATTTAATGACTCTATACTTACTGCATTATTGCAGTTGCAGATGGTGCAGAATATGAAGGCGCTGCAGTTAATTTTCTAAAGTGACTGTGCAGTTGTCCACACTCAAAGTAATTGCTCCTTTCTGATTGCTATCAGCATCAGTAAGATGGAGACCCTTGCCTGACTTAAAGAAAACAGACATGAACCCCAGTTCTTCTGACTCCTCTGACAATTCATCATGCCTCACCTAAAGTGGATACCACGGTCTGCTACATTCGTTAGCCACCTTGGATAAGCACATCTACTGAATGATTAACGTTATGTAAATGTAATGCTGCTGTCATGACTAATGAGAGTCATCTGAACAATAAAATGATCTCACATTCTTGGGCATTAATATACTGTATTTTTACCGTTTATTGTTGCTGAATCCTTCTATTCCCACGTACAGAGCCTGGGAAGGTTTTGATACTTCTTAAGCCTTTTAATTTTTGCCCTTTATATTACAAACTTACAAAAAATTATGTAATTAACTAACACAAACTAGTGCAAAACTGTGAAGTGGGAGGAAAATGAGACATGGATTTAATTTTTTTTTTGACAGATTCTGAAATAGATTTTGGTCTGAACTTTGGCTAGGCCATTCTAACACATGAAAAAAATGTAAACCAATCTACTGTAGATCTTGTTGTATAACTGAGTCCAGTATGCTGCAGTCTGAATGAAATACCTTGTTGATGTTAGCAGTCAGAAGGGAATCCAGAGAGTCCAGATGATAGAAAGGTAACATTATCTCAAATAACTACTCATTACATACAAGGTATGTAATGATGCAGAGGCTATAAGAAAACCTTCTTATAGAAAAATGATATTATTGTAACCTGGAATATAATAGATAAGAAAACCGATTGGTTTGTCCAATCGGTCTCAGTTTCACCTGATTTACAAAATGATATATGATACATCAGTGTTTTACAACTCTGGTCTTCAAGGCACACTACCCTACATGTTTTAGGCATTTCCCAGCTTCAGCACTTATTACCTCTACTGATTGCTGATTAACAGGCGTTTGCTGAGTTGCAGTCATCTGAATTGGGTGTGTTAAAGCACAGAAACATTTAAAACATGCAGGGTAGTGAAGCCCTGAGGGCTGGGGTTGGTATAGATTACAAACATTGCATTCCACTTCCAAATGTGCAGCAGTATTAGTCTAAAACAAAAGTGGTTTGGGAAAACCCCCAGTAATTTTATGACTATAAAGACTAATCAAAAACACTAAAAGCATCACTGCCATTGGGTTTTTAAGTGAGCAAATAGAGGACGTATGCAACGAAGCAAACTTACGGTTTAGAGAAAGCTTTCGCATTGAGCCACATTGTCACCTGCTCTGGAGATGACTGGGAAGTTAATGGCACCTGTGGGGCCGCCGGGCGCTCTACTCGGATCTTTCTGGGTGGCGGGTTTTTGTTTGCTGTGATTTTCATCAGTAGCTCATTATTAACCTCGTCCATCTCTGCAGAACAGAAACATAATAGAAACAGAAGTAAGAACAAGTGTTTTGTTTAAACATTCTTGGTTTGTTGTTTTCGTTTTTGCTGTGCGCATTGACTCACTTTTGTCTTTCTGTATTCCCCCTTTGAAACTATCCCTCTTGTGCAGCGGTTCAGTGGGCGAACTCCTGTAGTCGCTCTGGAATCACACAGCCACACATAGACGCAGTTCAAGACAGAGAAACCACAATGTTATCACAAAAACCGGTTCAGCTTCACTCTTTCGCCGGCCAATTCATTTTTGAATCAAAGCCAGAAGCAAAATATGTGAATGTGTGTTTTGATCAAGGAAGAGGAGCTGCATGCACGAGCTGACGCAGGATCTTTGTTGTCCATGCCGTCTGGAGGAAGTGCAAATTGGAATGTTACGTAGGAAGTGCTGACAAGTTGTGCAGAGCAGCTTGCAGCTAACACTTCGATATTTTGTCTTTTCATTGTTTCAGGTCTATAAGTGTCTAAAATCGCCCCACTTACTTTGTCAGGAGATCCTACAGATTTTCTCTCAGATTTAGTTCTGATCTCCAGCCCAGTCATCCAGAAAACTTTAATTGTGTTCTCATGAAATCATTATTTTGTTTGTTTGGAGGTAAATTTGCACTTCCAGTGATGCTCAGGAATAAAATTTTTTCTAAGCAGATGCTTAAAATTTTGGGGGTGAGAAACTACTCACATTTAGTAAAAAGTGACCCTAAACAGAGTAAAGACATCATATTTGTTTTTTTCTGTAGAATCACGTGGAATATTTATGATATTTCATGTGGAGGTTATGAAATAAATTTAGTCTCTTTTACTCAACAAAAATAACATTTTAACAGTATACACTTTCTGTATACAAAAAAACATTTAGTGAAAGGAAAGTGTGTTTTTCTTGCCCTGGCATAGATGTAGCAGCCTCTGCATCATCTCTCAAAGCCTGAGCCAAAGTATTTAGGAAATCAGAGTGATAATCTGTGTACGAGTTTGCAGTGTCTCTCAATATGTCTTGAACAGAGAGGACTGCAGTAAATGTTGTGCATGCAGAGTTGGCAAGTTACCGGGTAGGGCTCTTCTGGTTCTTCTAGCCTTACAACATCCAGGATGTTATATGGGACGTAGCCGGATTGGCCGCTGCGATTCCGCAGTTTCCACCATTGTTTGTTATCTTCCAACACCTGCGAGAAAGATTCAACAGCTCACGCCACAATACAGGAAGCTGGAGTAGATGTGATACATTATCCCCCTAGATTTTTCTTTAACAAGTCTAGGCCACAGTTCTGATGCAAAAGTAAACATCTCAATTGAAAAAACAGGAAAGTGTTTTGTTACAACCTCAAGGATTTCATCCTGCAGCACTGACAGCTCGTTGGGATTCCGCGCCACAAAATTATAACGGATTTTGGCATATTTGCGGCTACTTTGCATCCCATTTGGTGGGGAATGATTGACGTAATACTAAAAAAAGAAAAAACAAAGAAAACAGATACATATTTAAAGACATAGCTATATGTTTAATAAATCCGAACTGGTGTAGGGAAACAAAAGCATTTTACATCGTCAGGCGAGTGTCTTCTGTAGTCAGGGCTTGTGGGAGATGCAGTTGGACTGGGTGGTCCCTCGGTTTCCCATGGAGAAGTCAAGAAAAACTCTGCAGGTGGCTCCCATCCATTTCGAAACTTGGGGTAATAAGGAGGCGCACACTGATCTCTGGGCCACTCTGCTCTGTAAGAGGAGGATTGTTTAAAAGTGATAATAAGCAGAGAAAACCAGCAGCAGGAGCGGCAGCACTCCACATGTAAACACACCTGGGTCTGGTCCATCCGTCACCAAGCAGCTCAAACATGGTCATCTCTTTGGGGGTGAGGTGTCCGCGTAGGAAGTCGACTGCATCCATCGAAAGATGAGGGGAGATGACGGAACGCACCAGGTCAGGACTTCCACACGTCTGCAGGACCTGAGAATATGGTTTAAAGATTCACAGTTGGACCTGACTGAAAGAGTAGAGCTCATTATCTCCTCTGACTACTCCGAGTTTGGCATGCACTCATCATTTATTGCCGCAATACACCCTACATTTAATACAACATCAAAATTGACCTTGCACAAATCAGAAAACAGTGTCTATTTGTGGACAATTTCAGCTCATAAAAAATACAACTATCCTGTGAACTTACAGCAGCAAACCTATCAAGACATGCCTGTCACTCTGGAGAAGCTGCAGAGGTGCACAGCTCAGGGGAGAGGATTACTACAATTAGTCGAGCATGCTACAAATCTGACATTAATGAACACATTAAGAAAGGTATTCAGATCAAATGATGCCAAGAGTAAACATTCTGGTTAAAGCCCAGAAACAAATCCAAAGGAGAATCTGTTGCTACACTTCAAATTATCTGTTTATAGATGCTCACCATACAATCTGACTAAGCTTGAGCTAGTCTTAAAAAAAAAGCTAAAGTGTTAGTCTATAAGATGTGTGAAGCTGGTAGAAACAAGACAGCATGAATCGCAGAAAACAGTGGTTCTAAAAAGGGTTTTCACTTTTTTTTATTTGTGTCCTTTAAAAACATCTATTTTAATGTGTTAGTTTACCACACAAAATCTCAATAAAATACAGTAATGTTCACAATGTATGGAAACCTTTTGTATTTCTCGACTACATCGCTTTAAAAAAAAAGCTAGTTAATCATATAACTTAAGCTTGTATAAAATGAAACAGTGAAAAGCAATTAATGAACAGCGTTAAAAAACAAGAAGCACATAAAAAACATCTGAATAAAAATCAGTTAGCCACTGCTTTACAAATCCATATACCATCTTGTGCAGCACAGTTTCTGGAGAGACACCCCTGCTTGGGCAATGCTGAAGTCAACTTTCAGGTGAACTTTTCTAAGAAATATCACAGAAATCTCAAGAATTTACAAATCATTTTCTGTCCTGCAGTATCGAAGGAGTGGCTGAACACTCCAGCTTTGAAAGCCATGAATGTCGCTCCAGTTGGATAAGTGTTTGAGCAGAGCACCAAGAGTGGGTGTGGTGCCAAAATAATAATAGTAATAAAAAAAGCAGCAGCAACAACAAAGAAACCACAAATATCTAATGTTAAAAAAATGCAAGCGATGAACTGAATGTGACTGAGGAAAGCCGTCTTTCTCTCACTAAAATATTTGTTTTGGTTAAAATGAAACTTGGATGAGCTGAGAGGCCACAGGCAGACTGCTCATTACTCAAACTCAAACGGGTTATGGTTTTTGACTCTTACCAGCTCCAAAGGTCCAAACAGGAAATGAACCAGCTCTGGAGCACTTGGGTTCTGTAGATGTTTCTTCAGCTTGGCCTGCAGGGGGCAGAGTGGCAAACAATCACTGAAGAGTCGATGACCAGAAAGCGGCCGTTCACCGACGGAAGTTAGAAGCTTTGATATCTCACCAAGAGGTTGAGGGCCAGCTTCAGTTTCTGCAGGCTGTCAATGTACTCTGCTTCAGAGGGGGGCCTGGCCCGCAGGGTCAGCATGCCCTCTGTAAGCAAGAACAACAGTGACCACACACAGAGGCCAGGGTTACCAGCTGCTCCACACCCCTACTGCAGACTACATCGCAGGTTTCACTTTCTTGGCAAAGGATCAAAGTCACAAATGTTTTTTTTTTTTTTTCATGTATTCCAGAACATTTTATAGCTGAAGCGATACAACGACGAAAGGTAATAAACAGCTCACCTTGACCAGGGCAAGAAAAACTCCTACAGAGTTTCATAACCAGTGACTCAGCTGACTGAACAAAAAGTTTATGACGCAGGAAACGTTGGATATAAAATGGGAGTTTGAGATAAATGTTGACCGCTTTCGTAAATTGTCACTTCTGTAGTATTTACTTTTTCGTTGCGTCATTATTTAGGGATGGGAGAAAAATAACAAGCTAGCCGTAATAATTTTACCAGTATGAATGTGAACGAGAAAAGTCTCTCTTCCTCTTGCTGGTTATTGGATCTTTGTAGATTGACTTGCTTTCCATAAATTCTCAACTACAAAGAGTTTCCAAGCTGGTTGTAAATCTCATACTCCTTTTTATGTTTAATGAACCACTCCACATTTCTTTGAAAGGTCTTCAAAAGCATTCAGCAAGAGTCAAAAAATGCAAGCGATGAATTTGCATGATGCTGACATGTTTATGTCTCGTTACTAGTCACATATAACTTCTTTGCATAAGAAACTGTTCACTTGTGGTGTATTCAGACATCATATGCATTTCTTATGGTATTTTTTTTATAAAATGTCAAAAAGATAATCTGGAATAATGAATAAGATTACATTTGAAAATCTGGTTAAATGCAACTGTTTGGACATGATTTTGTAGAGTTGTAGCTATTCATTATTTTGCTTTCAATATCATTTCATGTTTGTTTTCTTTTTTGTTTTTTTTAATTAAAATCTAAAACCTCAAAGCAGATACTAGCTTCAGCCCCTCTAACCAGTCACAGTATTCCAGCAGCGCTTCCACGCTGATCTTCCAAGCTGTCACTGTTTCTTTTTTTAACCGTGATACAAAAAGGTCTCCAAACAGACATTTTAATTGAGACCTTTTCAATACCTACTTAACTGAGTGTGCCAGTCTGATCATCAGTTTTAGTTATAATGACACCTATTGAACTAAATATCTCACACATAACAACTGTGTAGAGCTTCCCTGACAGACAGTTTGATTAGAAGTATTGTTATATTTGAATACTGCAAGATCTTGTCATACTTGATCAAACGAATCTTTGTTTCATCTATAAAATGTTCTACATTTCAAATGTTAAAATTAAAAAACAACCCATAAAACAGGTAAAGTGTAGACAAACATGCAGAAATATGATAAAATGATCAGCACACAGGACACAAAGAGAACCACACATTGCAACGTGAGCAATATGTCCATATTGTCACGCTGATTTAGCCACTGCAGAAGAAGAAAGGTTGACAGACCTGCTGGTCCTTTCTTCTTGTTCTTCTTACTCTTGTTGCGTTGATTGAGCTGATAAAAAGCCTCAGCTGCCTTCTGCAGCCGCGCCACAAAGATCTCAATGTCGTCCAGGGCACAGTTGAGGATTTGCTGAATAATAATAATGAAACATGTATGCTGTAGTTGTTATGATGTCATGAGAAGGACAATGATCACCACCACAGTGGATATCAAAGCTCACCACATCCTTCTCAATGCGCTGGGCCAGCTTTTCATGCGTCTCTCCATCATAAGGATCTGCAAGTGTAGAAACTATCATAAACCACAAAAAAATACTAACACCATAACTGCTAAAATGATGTTGTGTTACTAAAATGTGTGAGTTTGCATAACTCTGCGTGTGTTCTTACCATGAGTGTGTGCAGCGGCTGCTGCTCGTCTATTTACAACAGGTGGCGGGCCCCTGGGGGCCGAGGGAGGGAGGATGGTTTCTCTCTGACGCTTCATTTTTTCCTGGTTCACCCTGAACAGGGAGAATGGGGCAAAATGCATCACTAGCAGTCATTATTGCCACAAAAGTAAAGGTAACTAGTAAAATAAATATATATGTGTGTGTGTATGTACACTTTTGTCCTTACTTGAGGGTTTCCAGCCTCATTTTTTTCCCATGTTTGTTGTCACCAAGTGCACTGTCTATGTCTGCGTGAACCATCTCAGCCTGTACGAAGCAGAAAGAGACACACAGGGAAGAAAATAAATGTTTTTAGAAATCACAGTTCCAGGTGAGTGGTTTTGAAATTATATCTAAACTTCTTTTCTTTTTTTAACAATGACATTGAATGAATTTGCTCAACAAGTTCCATTTTGTAAAAGCTCTTTCACACAAAAGAGTATGTAGCACTAATCTGTGACTTGAAATAGTATTTTCTGTAACAAACTTCTATCTGGAAAAGCATCAGTCAGGTTCTGATTTGTGAGCAGTGAAACAAATAAGTATCTTTTTTCAACAGCCTGATCTTTGATGTGTTTTGTTTTGATGCATAAATAATAATAATTGAATTGGTTTCCTAAGTTTGATTTAAATTTACTACTTCTATCAAGGAAGCTGTGGATTTTTATGGTCCAAATGTGATAATAACATATTTATATTTTTATATTGTTGAAGTAAAACAGAATTTGTATTCTTAAATAGAAAATTAAAATCTGTTTAGACACAAGAAAAGAAAAATCTTTCCTTCCTTCGGCCAGAAAGAAAGAAACTGTAATAATATGATATCAGTTGTATTTCCCATTAAATTATTGGGATTAGAGCCGTTTTAAGACGGTAGAAATATGCTTTTATTTCTGCCCTGGTCTAATTTACAATGTCATCAGCCCTGGTAAAGATCTGATATCTAGTCTCCATAACAGCCATTTATTTTACCACTACTGATGCAGGCCTCATTGTTCCAGTAGTTACACAAAACAAAGAAAATAAATGCTGCACATATGTTGCTTAAGGTCCAAAAGCTCCATTCAAAATTCTAAAGCATCAGTATAACTAGAATTTTGACATTTAATTGAAATGTTTAATGTGTTTTAATTTGATCTAAAGAGTACTTGGTTAAAGAGAGGTGAAGAAAAATAGTTGTATTATTATAGTGACTTTGACAAATGACATTACGGGTTCACTTTATATCTTAAAATGTGATTATTTGTCTAGGAAGTGAGACTCTTTCTACAGTAGGTTAAAACTTATTAAAACATGGAAGTCAAATCTGTCCAAAACAACCAATAAAAATAGCTGAATATATTTTTTTATACCAACAACATTCAAGGGCGCCTGGACAGGAAACAACACACTTCAAGTCTTGGAAGAAAAAAACACTCAGACACACACCTCCACTTGGTCACAATGGAAGAAATGGATGTCGGGTTTGTGTTGGTCCCTGTCTTGACACATGAGCAGCAGCACAGATGGGTAGCGTGTCTGATTCAGCACCGTCTGGCAGAGGAGGACTGTGGTGAGGGGGAAGTTCTCCAGTTCTTCCTGCATAACGACCAGAATGGCATTGTTATTGAGGAAAAAAAAATGTAATTTCTAGAAAGTTTCCAAAATGTATAAATAACTTTATATTTATCTAACAGCTTAGGAAGTCATGCAGAACATCTACATCTGTTTAAATCTGACCTCCTTATGGGAGCAAACTTGATATCAGAGAGACATAGAGACATATGCAGAGCATAATGTGTGAATATGAACAAACCTGAGTGTCACAATCAAGAAGTCTGAGCGCCTTGTCTGTGACCTGCAGCAGCATCTCCTGTGTCCAGATTTTACCCCTGGAGTCCAGAAGAATCAGCTTCTTGATAGCATCATCTACTGTGACAATGGATTCTGTCTTGTCCATAACAAACGTGGAGAGATGCTGAAGAAGAAAAAGAGCTGTTAGTAATTAAAACCTGGAGTTGGGTAAAATAAAATGAAAATGATTCAAATTGGTTAGTTTTCTCCTTTGCCAAGGAACTTTCTGTGTCCTTTACAGCACCTGCAGAGCTACCACTTACCTCTTTGCTGCTTTTCTAACTTATATACCCGCCCAATCTGTTAACTTATGGACAATCACATATCGGTATCTTTGCAGTTGTATTATGTGGAAATTTGTGGATTGAACTGAAAAGTGTTCGGTGAGATGTTCAGAGATTTGTGCAAGGTTTCATAACCTAACCCTGCTTCATTTTCTCACAGGATTCATACACAGATTCAATTACACAGGTGTGGATTTCATTTACGAAGCGAAAGTAAACTTGAAGGGAACTTCAAAGCTTTGTTTACAGGATGAGATAAAGAAAAGATCGGACTGCTCAGCCTGTTACATTTTTTCAGATTTAATAAAGACAGGTTCATAAACTATGTATAATTTTATTTCCACTTCACAAGACATCACAATTTCATGCTATTGAATTAAATAAAATCCAAGTAAATCTATTAAAGTTTGTGGTTGTAACATGTCAAACTTAGACAAAAGTTCAAGGAGCATAAATGTTTGTGGAAGATAAATTTATTCTGTCCAAATGCCTCTCAATTTCAGTTGGTTCTGCATAAAAATTGGCTGAAAACAAGAGATCAAATGAATTTATGTGTTTTATTGATGTGACTGACTTATACATTTTACCAGAATGTGGTAAAACATAAAAGAGCATATATAAAACATATATGTTAGCATATTTTTACAAGCTGAATTTTCACATGATGCTTTTAGATTGAAGAGTTGAAGTATTACTGACACCAAGGTTTCGTTTCTGTGATATTCGAATATCTATATTTTATTGCATCTGATGCAATCCAGTTACAGAGATAAACTGTAAGGTCACAATTAAGCGTCTTTCAAATGAGGGTGTTTCACATCTTAGACCTGCTATCGTGATGAAACATATAAACCTGAAAAATGAAACTTAAAAAAAAATTTAAATGCAAGCTTATTTGTTTTTTTGATTATTAATACTGACAAAAATATGAGCTAAAAATACAGATTGTAGCAGTTCCTTTAGCTAACAGTTAAATCTTATCTTGTGTTTTTTTTATTCCTGCTCTAAAACATTTGGCCCTGCTTCTTTCTGCATTTATTATGTTGGAGTATGTCTTTCAACCTGCCCAGGTGTGATAATGAATGAATTTGGAAAATTATCAAGATTGGCATTGGACACAGTTCAGATCTGATCACTGACCCACAGCACATCTTTCACCTGTGCATATCCGCCCCACATAGCTGCACTCCGAGGGCTGATTGTTTTATCAGAAGATCTCATAATCTACTGAAACTAATCACGATGTGAGCTTTAATCTCTGGTCGAAGGACAACCATGGATAACATCATATTTTGATCTTTATCATTTTCTGCTTCGATCAGGCAGTCTAAACAGCTAAGATATTTAAATAAAAGTCAAATGTTAGCAAGAACAATACTTGCTTCCAAGAGTCACACTATACATAATTAAAATTGGTCTTTTAAGGTTTTCTTTAGACTTGTCCAGAACAAACTGTTTGAGTTTGAGTTTTCTATCATGTTAAAATATAACCTTTGCTTTAAAAGACGGGATTTCAAAAAGGTAGAGGACAGAAAAAATATCAGGTCCCAAATTTTAAAATTACATAAATTCATTTGATATTTTTTTAAAAATGTTTTTAACTGTCAGAAATTTGGAAACAATTTTGCTTATACTAAAATATAAACCTTTGCGCATCATAGTAAGTTTTGTCATTTATGTACTTATTGTAACTTTTACTTACCTCCTACATAATTGTAATTTTAAAACTTTATAATTTTCCAGATTTTGCAAGGTTTATTGGGGCATTAGGGCACAAAAAAATATCTGCCCAGGCTTTATTTTTCTGTATGATGCTAGTTCTGCAGCAACATACTTAATTTTAACTTTTTGACAAACTAAATCAACTCTACCTGAAATCTATAAAGCTTATGATTTGTGAAATCTGGACTAAAGTATTCAAAATAAAATACAAATTCTACACAAGCAACTCGCAGCGTTTTGACATTCTTTTAAATGCACTTTTACCTGTCAAGTATCAGTAACACTTAGAAAAAAGTCAAGTTGAGATTTGGTCATTTGAGATGAAAGAGTTCAAATAAATATAAATCCCTGTAAAAGTCAATTAAACGATTCAACACGATGAAGGAGGGAATATGGATTTACAGATTAAGCTAAAAGTTTTTTCTAGACTAAAACTAGCATAAAATTCATACAATACAAAAGGCTCAAATTGGGACTAAATACTTTTTTACACTTATTACAGATGATTAGATTTTTAAACTTTTGCTTTTTTACAAGAAAAATATTTGTTTCTGTTTTTCCTTTTATTAAATAAAACATATATTTATATGTTATCACTCGTCTCCCCTGTCATGAACCCTGTAGCACACATTGTCTCATGGACTGGAGAGACAATCATATTCTATTACACAGCAACTTCAGAGCACTTTAAAAGATTACAAAGAATGCATGTGGTACAGAGGTTGTCAAATCTAAAAAAAATATATAATTAACCTTTTTTATTCTCTATAAAAAATGTTACAGGTATCAACTATGATGACAACTGTGACTGAGTATCAAAAATGTAGGAAACTTTAAGTTTTTAGTTGTAATTCTAAACTCTTAAATCGAATCATAAAAGAAAGGCTTTACCTCAACGTGGTACTGCGACGTCTCTTGCATGATGAAATTTGAGTTGGAGTATTTTTTCCGCTGCTCTGTAGGTAACAAAAAAAATTATTATTCTATGCAGTCAAAAAGCTAGTGTAAAGTAGATTTCTCCATTAAAAACCAGCTCTGACCGTAAGTCCACATGTTGGCGTTTCAGTAGTGAGTCGAGACGAAGAGGAAAAGTAATGCGTGAGCTTGAAGAGCACACAGCAAATAAGGAAGTGACAGCTTTTTACCTTATGACCTCACAGTCAACAACTCTGCTAATGATTCAGGTTTGTGACACACTTAGCAAGCCAATTACTTTACATTATCTATTTGATAAATGTTTTTGTCCTTAAGCTAAACAAAAACCATGTCAAAAAAATGTGTCATATTAAATATATAAGTCCATATAAGTAAAATAGCCCCAAAGGCACCAAATGTGTACTTTGATTTTCTATTCTGGTACTAGTGGCCTTCATTTCCAATAGATTATACAGGAATTGGGCAGAGAGTGAAAGGGGGAATGCAGCAAAGGTCTCAGGGTCGGAAAACAAACCCCAATCAAGGACTTCAAGCCTCCCTCTACACCGTACGCCACCCCTAAATAAGTTAATCTTAAATCTTATACCGTAGGGTTGCATGTATCTTAATTTCTCCTCCCACGTTTCATAATGTAGTCAGAGTTGGCACGAAACAGCCAGGGCTGGACTCATAAGTCCAGATTTATTAGAGGTACAAAGATCAATGACAGCACCAGGAACGGTTCCACCTCTCTGGCACTTTACCCTCTTGTTGATAGTTGAAGTCTGACTATAAATCTGAGACCAGTTAAAGAATGAGCCTGAGTCTCTACGATAAGAATGATTCTTTGCAAGACAAAACATTTGAAATGTTCAAAAATGTAACTTAGAAAGTTATAATAGGGAAATCTTAAACTTTGCTGATCTTTGTAAATGTTAAGTTTCTTTAATAGGACAGTCTGAAAAACTGAGTTTATATTAACAGGGACTCTATGAATAAATCAATCTGTATAAAATCTATCATGGATCAGGTTTATAAATCCTAATCAATATTTTCAGCTGATCACAGAATCTCATTGCAGCGTGTTCAAATATGGAGATTAGATGTTAATGGCCCAAAAGCTAAAGCTCACTAAGGAGGCCATTGGTCTTCCTGCTGATGCTTGGATTTATTTGGGTCATTCATATTCAGTAGCAGAATAATAAATTATCGACAAACATACAACACAATAAATAGGTAAGAGAAGAAAACAATCAAGGTGGTTTAGTGACGTGCAGCTGCTACACATTGGAGATTCACATAAATAAAAGACTATAAAACACTGATACACCAGAATAGAACGGGACTTATCAGGTCCTATGGATGATAATGGAGTCCAGTGATACAGGTGTTTCTTCAGGTTGTTTTACAGCAGGCTGCATGGACACTTTGTATCACACAACCTCATCTTAGTTTGATTTAATATCTTCTTGATTTAGTATTACAGTTCCTTTTAAAGTCTTACAGTCTTGCAAAAATACACTCCTAAAAGCTCCTAACACCAAACTTTAAGGGTTCTTATGATAAGACTAATACAAAGTATAATTGTGAAATTATATATATAAAAAAAATTCCCTTCTCACCCACCGCGGGTGGTTCTTATCCTCTGAGCTCGGGTCCTCTACCAGAGGCCTGGGAGCTTGAGGGTTCTGCGCAGTATCTTGGCTGTGCCAAGGACTGCACATTTCTGGACTGAGATGTCTGATGTTGTTCCTGGGATCTGTTGTAGCCACTGCTCCAGTTTGGGGGTTACTGCCCCGAGGGCCCCGATGACCACAGGCACCACTGTGGTCTTCACCTTCCAGGCCCTCTCCAGTTCTTCCCTGAGGCCCTGGTATTTCTCCAGTTTCTCGTGCTCCTTTTTCCTGATGTTGCAATCACTTGGTATTGCTACATCTACCACAACGGCTTTCCTCTGATGTTTATCCTCTACGACAATGTCTGGTTGGTTCGCCATTACCATTTTGTCTGTCTGGATCTGGAAGTCCCACAGGATCTTAGCTCTGGCGTTCTCCACCACCTTTGGGGGTGTTTCCCACTTTGATCTCGGGGTTTCCAGTCCATATTCTGCACAGATGTTTCTGTACACTATGCCTGCCACTTGGTTATGTCGCTCCATGTACGCTTTCCCTGCCAGTATCTTGCACCCTGCTGTGATGTGCTGGACTGTCTCAGGGGCCTCCTTGCACAACCTACACCTTGGGTCTTGTCTGGTGTGGTAGATCTGGGCCTCTATTGCTCTGGTGTTTAGGGCCTGTTCCTGGGCGGCCAGGATGAGGGCCTCTGTGCTGTCCTTGAGTCCAGCTTTTTCCAGCCATTGGTAGGATTTACTGATATCAGCCACTTGGGTTATTTGCTGGTGGTACATCCCATGTAGGGGCTTGTCCTCCCATGATGGTATCTCTGGCACCTCAACCTCCGTTCCTGTTGTCTGAGACATTCACTGAGCACATTGTCTGTTGAGGCTTTGTCCCTGATGTATTTATGGATCTTAGTTGTTTCGTCCTGGACAGTGGTTCTCACACTCACTAGTCCTCTGCCTCCGTCCTTGCGGCTCGTGTACAGTCTCAGGGTGCTGGATTTGGGATGGAACCCTCCATGCATGGTTAGTATATATATATGCATGGTTAGTATATATATATATATATATATATATATATATATATATATATATATATATATATATATATATATATATATATATATATATATATATATATATATATATATATATATATACACACACAGAAACAGTAACTAATAGTCAGGAAAGATGGCTTGCCTTTGCATTGAGCTTCCTTCACTTACTTTGTGACTTTGTGAAACCACCTTCACTGTAACCAGTGTAACATGTTTTACAAGCTTTGTGCATCAATACTGTTCTGTCAGAATTTATGAAAAGTGTCTTTGGGAATCATTTTTTTAACTAGACTTTGACTGGAGCGTTCTAATACAAGCAAGCTTTAATCTAATCGCTTGGTTCTGGTTGTTTGCTCAGGGTCGTTGTCCTGGTGGAAGGTGAACCTCCACTACAGTCGCGAGACTTGTGCAGCCACAAGCAGATTCTCTTTGATAATTATTCTTAATTAAATCCACCAGTCTGCCTGTTTGCGTCATTTTCTAATCCTAATAATTATTTTTGTTCACTAACAATCTCTAGAAAACCTCTGAGGAGTCCACAGAACCGAGGTAGTTATGTGGAAATTCAATCACAGAGGAGGTGGACTCCACCTGTTATATAAAAATCTGAAGCAAATTATCTGCAGTGAATTTTATTGCAGGGTATCCAAGTAATGATGACTTAGTAATCCCATACTTTTTATGTTTTTGTTTTTAAAACTAAAAATGATTTACAGCAAATTCAAGACGCACTGCCTTTAAAACTTTCACAGCAAAATATTGTATGGTTGTTTTCTCTTTTTTTTTGTGTTGTTTTAATTTGAGGCCACAGAAAAAGCCAGAATAAAACAGAACAAAAACACATTAATCTTAGCAATTATTTATGTCCACATGTGAGCACCAGATGTCCTCATAGAAGCTTAGTTGATGTTAAATGAGGACACCAAAGTGATTGGACCCGTTTAGCAGATGAACATTATTAAAGGCAACAATTACACTTCAACAACGACATGTTCCTATAAACTCTAGCAGTAGCTTTCATATCAGATCGCTCTAAATTTCCATAGCCCATCTACCAAAGTCAATATTCTGATGTCACACCGAGTTTTGTCTCCATACAGATACATTTCCTATTGTTCACTTTATGTTCACTGCAGCACAAAAGTCATGTTGTTTGCAGAACACTTAAGAAAATGTATGTCAAGGCTCAGTGAGTAAATTCCAATATTTACCATTTTTACCTTCGTGACAAAGAGCTCTTGATGGAGCTCAAGCATAACATTGAGTAAAGATTTAAAAAGGGGACAACTTTATACCGTCCAAATGATGCCACCAATTGTCTTTCCTGTTCCTTCCATTTCCTTCCTGCTTGGCTCTCCGCAGGTGAAACAAAAGCGTCAGGTGTCACTCTGAAAGCCGAGCTCGACTAATGTCTTATTAATGACTGACATTAATTCCAATCAATTCACAGCCCTATGACCGAGTGCAATAAGAGCCACTTAGTCGGCAGATGGGCCGATCTGCAGAACTCTCCAGAGTCAATGGTCGGTGATAAAAACACAGCACCCTGGCAGATTATCAGCCTCTTACATGACCCAGATCTGTCGGACAATCACTTAAACTCCACACAGTTTGATATTTCACCTCAAGCAATTCAATCCTTACAAAACTGGCACTGCTTTCAGAGATAAATGCTTGTTTAATTAGACTATAGAAATAAAACTTGTGCTGCAATGAACAAAAAAGATAAATTATACAGCAATCTGACATTTGATTTTTACTAAACTATTTTGTTCATTTTGACCTTTATGAATAAATGCACCTATTCAAACTTTGAAGCTAATTTCTGATCTCTGGTTTTACAAAGTCTTGATCTGCCAATTTTGGCCACTTCCTTTTGTTCTTCAATAAGATGAAAACAGCCTTAGCAAGTGATCTTTTTACAGCCTTCCTGTCATGAATGACCAATAATTATTTGTATTAGTGTGATGTCACACAGTGTGCATGAGAAAGAAGTTGTAAAACATAATCTTGGATATTTTAAAACAAATACATAATTATTACAAAAAGTGGATAAAAATTATTTTTGGCATCTTATGTTAGCCTGTGTGTATCCCCTCTAGACTGGATATAGTAGATTTACTTTAACTCTGAGGTGTTCTATTCTGGCATGTTTCATGACTGACAGACATTGAAAGCGCATAATAAATACAAATTTAATTTATATAATTGTCTGACTTTCTGCTTCTTTTGAGTTGTAAGTCTTTGCGACTTGGTAAAATCAGAAAAGTTGCAGGTGAAGGCGTGATCTAGAAGAAGATCACGCCTTGAGTTGCCAGCCAATTTTTTGGTTCCCTTCTTTAGATCTGCATCCACAAAGACACCTCACCTGAAAGCGTCACCATCAGCATCCAAAAAATAAAAAGTAAATATGGAAATTAGAAGAGTCAAACCTTTCAGTTAGAGACCTCACATGACAGAGACATTGTCCAGAGAAGCTTCGGTAATTGTCTGAGTGTTTTGGTCTCTCTTTCTGCTTCAGCCCACAGAAGCTGATAACAGATCAGGCAGAAGTACCTGATCTGATTTGCATCACTTTTCTACTGCACTGTTTGAGTTATGGGGGAAATTTGCATATGTGAGATTACTCTGCTGCATGTTTATTAAACACTTTATCCAGGTCTGTTACAGATAGACTTAGTCCACAATATCATCTGAGCAAAGGGAGGACAGGAGATCACCGCTTTGCTGGTAGCGGTGACCATCTGTTGCTCAGTAGGAGCGGAGCAAGAAAACAACAACTAATCACACGTACAGTAGGGTGTCACACA